CACAGGGGACACTGTACTGCCCCCAGACAGTGACATCCCAAAATGGTTGAGGTTTGGGTAGGGGAATCTAGGGGATTCCCTGTGGAGAGAAAGCAGGGAGGGCTTCCTGGAGGAGAGGCAGCTGGGGCCAAGACCTGCTATTGTTTACTGAACACCTACTGTGTGCCCTGGTTAGGCTCTCAGAAGAATAGGTGTATTTTGGAGGCTGATGAGAAAGGGGAATGTGTGGGTGGTGGGGGGTGGGAGGAAAACGCTGCTGAAGCAGGGGTATGGGTGGGGCAGAGTGGGGGAGGCAGGGAGAGAAGGCAGGAGGGAGGTGGTACCTGGTGCCGGGCCTCCAGGGCAGGAGCCTGGACCTTCTCCCACTGACAGCCCAGGCAGGAGCCCATCCACATGTACAGGGAGGGTGGGCGGGAGGAGGTCGGGAGGCTGGGGACAGGCAAGGGGAGACTGCCAGGAAAAGGAGGCGGGGATACAAGAAGTACAGGGAGCAGACAGAAGCCTCGCCTGCTCAGTCCTGCTGGGACCCTTTGGCCCTGAGCTCAGAGGCCCTGCTAATGGAGCTTCTCAGGGAGTCTTGGGTTTGCGTTTTTCTCATTCTGTAGTTCCTAAGACTCTCCACTCTAATAGTTCTTCATTTCTTAAATTCTCTTAGGTTCTTTTCTCCTAAAGTTCTATAATTGCAAGTTTCTTTTCTCCTTTGATTTTAGGACTCATTCATTCAGTAAATGCTTAGTGAGTCTCTATCCTGTTTTAGGTGCCAAGGAGACAGAAAAGAACATAGGGATGCAATTCCTGCCTTAGGGGAAGCCACATTTATTGAGCACTCACTATGTGGCAGGCTGCACAAGATGTACACATATAACACATTTAATCCTGTCACCAGCCCCGTGAGTGAGAGACTTGAAGAGTCCCTGTTACACAATGTGAAACTGAGGCTTCTTCCTAAAACCTGAGACTCTAGAATTCTTTGCCTAAGAGTCTAGGGTTCTAAAATTTTTGTCCTAAAGATTCTGTTACACTTGGATTCAAGGGGACAATGGACACAGGAAGGGTGATCAACCTTATTATCGAGGCAGGAACTGCAAATCAGAACCACCATGAGACTCACATACGCGCATGCGCGGGTGCACACACATGCATACCGGGACGACTCCTAATTTAAAAGTCTGGCCAGATCCAATGCTGGCAAGGGTATAGGGCACGTAGAACTCAGCAGACCTTGGCGATGGGGGTGAAAACTGGTGTGATCACACAGGAAGCCCATCTGGCCATATCTTCCACCCTCTTGGATTAATGCAGAGAAAACAATTCATGCCTATGGGCACCAAGAGATGTGCGTGGCATTGTCGAAAGAGTCAGCATCTGGAGACCACTCCCATGTCCGTCAGGATGGATGAATAAATGGTGGTATCTCCATGCAAGAGAATAATACACAGTCATGAAAATGTAGACACAAGGATACGAATGAAACTTAATGGCATGAAATTGAGTGCTGAAGCAGGACCCAAGAGGTTGCACAATACAATTCTCTTTATCAAAAACTCAAAACTGTCGTGATCAAGTGTATATTCATAGGTAGTGAGAGCATAAAGGAATATAGGTCACTAAAAGGGGGTAAAAGAGTTGAGATTTGGAAGAGGCGTGAGGGAGCTTTTGAGGAACTGGCAAAACCATCTCTGACCCGCACTGTTCTCTTTATAATAGTTGGTAAAATGGAACATTATGCTTTATGCAATTCTCCACATTCTATTTCATAATTTTTAAATATGTATATTTTTAATCCCACAGTTCCACATCTCTCTGATCCTGAGATGATGTGGTTCTCCAGGGGGCAAAATTCCTGAGCCTGGAGGCAGAAGGGCACAGTGGGAACCCACAAGAAGAGAATTTGGGATCTGAAACACACAACACAATTCGATTTTCCCAGAAGTGAGTAAATGTGCTGTGACCCTGTGTAACCACAAGAGGCCAAGAGACAAGTTCAGAGGTGGGTGATGTCCAAAGATGCCACAAGCCAACAGCCACTCCCAGCCCCACCTCCTGCAGGGCATGACTGTAAGGGCTCCCATTTACCCAATGCTCAGCAGCCTGCCCGGAGTCAGGCACTCCACAGGCACAACCAGACCAACGCCTGGTGCCTGCCCCGCACTTCTCAGGTGTGGAAACTGAGCCTGTTCAGGGTTTGCACAGCTGTGCAGGGCTTTGATCCCAGCTGTTGACCTCACTCCACAGGGTGGGGTGGGCCTCATGCTCCTGGGAAGGTATTGGTGGACAGAGGTGGCCCTGACTGGGACAGCGGTCAGGAGCAGGGGAGGAGTCCACTGGCCTGACTCAAATGAGGAAGGGCCTGGCATGACCCTGGCCTTCCCAGGAGCCCTGGGAACTTCTGCATCTATATTTTTAGGCCCTGGCGGCTGCAGGGGAGACTGTGGCCTTGGACTAAGGAGGTGCAGACTTCCAGGGAGAAAGGCTGGCTTTTCAGGGAAGGTGCTGTCCCTTTCTCAGGATGGGCTTTGCACTTTGCCCAGGGAAGTGGGAAACTGCTAGTTCCCTGGGGGAGGCTTGCCACACCTCAGGGAGTGGCGGGGCTAAGGGGCAGGCATGCTTCCCTAACTCAAGGCTCAGGAAGTAAGCACCTGGTGCAGGAAGCAGACACCAGCTCCCTTCTGGGTAATTCGTACCTCACACTTTAATATTGGGGACAAAACTTAATCTCACACTCACATGCTTCTAGAACAATGGCCAAATCAGGCTATACAACCCCATAGTCTGATGGAGGCAGAAGGCAGCACCCTGACTCACTATCGGGGAGCTTCAGTATGACGGTGGAGAAATGCCTACTATCTTCAGGAGCCCTGGTCTGGTCTAATACTCATCCACATGGGGGATAAAATCGCCCTCCTCAACTGAGAACCAACATCCTAGACAGATGAGGGAAGCAGGCTGCTTCAGTCTCATGAGAGGCATGCCCCAGCCACTCACCCAGGGAGAGTCCCGAGTCTGACAGGAGAGGCATTGCCCACTCGTGGAGGCATCTAAGTCACACCCCATTCTCAGGGAGATCCTTATCTGATGGAGGAGGAAAAACAGATTTCAACTCCAGAAGGAACTCTTGTACTGACGGAGGACACGTCCCTGCCTCAGGGACCTCCTACGCATCTAGTCTGATGAGGAAGGCAGTGCTCAACCCTATCCTGGCCTTCTTGCCTGCATATTCTCCATCCTTCCCTGCTGAATGAGCAGAGCAGGGGCTTCCCCCTCTCCACCTCTGTGGTGGATCCTAGAATCAGGGAACTTCTACAGGACACCACAGTTTCCCACCCCTGGGACTTCCCTTTATTTGTCAGCCCAAGACCAGGGGCTCATGGGGGTCTGTCATGCCTACCTGCCTACCCCTGCTCACCTACCACTGCTGACCCAGGCCCTCAGGGCAGTCACAATTGTGACACCACCTGGCTGTGGAGTATCCAGTGTGCAAGGCTCAGCAGGGGCTTTCCACGCCTGTCCTCACCAATGCCCTGCCCTGAGAAGGAGGGGGCCACCCCAGCTTACAGACCAGTCCTAAGGCCACACAGCCGGAAACTGGCAGAGGGCAAGGTAGACTCAGATTAATTTCATTCCTTATGGATAAAGGTGACGTCTCTGTGCCAGGCCACAATGCCAGAGGCTTTCTTGCTGACTCACTGGATCCTCTCAGTCATCGTGTTATTATTTTCATGACTCAGAGGGGGAAACTGAGGCCCAGAGAGATCAGATGCTGCTCCAAAGCCACCCAGACAGAGTTTATACAATCAGGTGGTTTCACTGCAAAGTCCAGAGTCACGGGTTGCATCCTCCAGAAAGCAGACACTTAGGTATAATTAGGAGGGCAAAGGGCTGTAGGGAGCATTACCTCAGAATGGGAAAGGGGGAAGCAAGATTGGGGGTGGGGACCATCAGGCCACGATGCCAGCTCAAGGGGGGAACATCCAACGCAAAGACTGCCCGTTAGAGGAATCCCACAGTGGGCAGAAATGGCCAGAGCTTCCTACCCTGCCTGGCTCAGTCAGTGGCCAGAGGCTGCTCAGAGACCGTGTCCCTGACTGGCAAGCTGAGGCAGACCTTGAAGGGGCCAACTGTGGGAGGCTGCCAGCCAGCCATCTGCACGCCTGGCAGCTGGGCCACAAGTCTTTTCTTGAAGGGAGATCCAAGCAGCATGTGTCTGTAGCAGCCTCTCCCATACTCTATATTACTAACAGCAATCATTTAAAAATAATATCTTCCACTTACCAAGAACTTACTTAGTGCCAGACTGGGCTGATGCGCATTAACTCATTTGACCCTCTCAACAACCCCATGCACTATTTTTGTCCCCACTTCATAGATGAGAAAACTGAAGCTCAGAGACGGTAAGTGGCCTGCCCAGGATTACACAGCTGTGAAGTGGTGGAGCTGAGGTTCCAACCCAAACAAGTAGACAGCAGTTACAGATGAGGACACTGAGGCCCAGCATTACACTGCCTGGCCGTCCACCATGACCTCAGTGGGACCCCTCAGACCTTCCCAGAACCACACCCCCATGGCAGATGCTGATATCCACAGACCTCATCCCACCACATCACCCTTGTCTGATCAAAGCAGTGCATTGCGGGGAGGGTGTCCTTCTCGAAACCTGCCAAGAGATGTTGCAATCCTCTGACTCAGAGACCTGCGTGCCGACCCAGCAAGAGGGAGAAAGGGGAAGATTAAGTCTTGGCCTAGGCCCCAGATGGGCTGATTCTGCTGGTGCCAGAGGTTCCAGCAGCTGCCAAGGCCCTAGGGTGGGGAGGAATCAGGAGGTGCAGGCTGCGCTGCAGGAAGCTGGCCTGCGTTCACCCTTGGGGTCGGGTAGGGGCAGTGCTGGCGGAGCTGTCTGCAGACCCGGGGTGGACTTCCAACCCAGAGTGCTGTGACCTTGGGCAAGGCTCTCCCTGGCTGGACTCACAGTCTCTGTTTTCCTTTGTCTGCAAAACTCACTCTGTTCCCTCCTCCTGGACCCTCCCTGTGCCTGGAGGCAGCAAAGGAGCACTGTGGAAGCCTATAAACCTTGCTAATCCCTGAAGATGCTGTTGGGTGCATGACTGTCTGTCCCGGCCTGAGTTTCCCCATCTAAGCCATTCCTTCCCAGGGCTCAAGGGTATCCGGAATTATAGCTGGCCGGGAGGACCTGCACTCTCTGGGACCAGTGACCAGCCCTCCCAGGTCAGCGGGTGCAGCAACCCAGGGTGCTGGGGTCACAGAGACTTAGCTTAAAATCTTGACACCCCCCTGTCCCTCACCACATGACCCTGGACAGTGACTTAGCCCCTCGGTGCATGTTCCCTTCTCTGTAAAATGGAACTTCAGTTACATTTTCCTCACAGGCATTGAGAGGACAAAGTGGGCCAATTTCTAGTGGGAGCTCAGCCCAGAATGAATGGGTCCATTTTGTGTCATCTCTGGGTAGAAAACAGTGACAAGGAAGGCCTGGTCTGATGGATTATAGCAGGCAATATGCAGACAAGAATGGACATTATTCATTCATTCTGCACACCTGGTCTCACTCAATCTTCTCAGCAATCCTGTGAGGCAGTAACTGTTGTCATCCCCAACTGTGAAGTCACCACAAACGCACAGAGAAGGAAAGTCACCTACCCAAGGTCACACAGCTAACAGAAGGCAGAGCCAGGGCTCTAACCCATGTCTCTAATCAAAGCATGTTGAATCCTAATTTCCTCAATGAAATGGGTCCTGCTGCTAAAAATGTGGGTTAATTGATTATAATAATTATTTTTATTCCTTTGGTTATAATAGGAATAACAATAAAGATGTTGCACTTTCTGTACATCAGGTCTTAGAGGATGGAAGGATTGTTTTCTTGATTTAGTCTGTTTTACAGGTGAGGAAGCTGAGGCCCCACAAGGGTGAACAACTGCCTGGAGTCACCGAGCTCACGAAGGTGGGAGACCAGACTCACACCCAGGCCCAGTGGGCAGCTAGGCAGGGCAAGATCCAGGAATTGATGGGAATGTATGGTCTGATCAGACTTACCCTCTCTTTTTAGATCAAGAAAGCTGCCACAAGCCCACAGGCTTCTAGCTGGGACTTCGTTGCCCTCTCAGGACTTGATCAGGTACAATCTTGACCCCTCCTTCCCCAAGGGAACTTGTGGAGGACAAGGTGGGAAGCAGCAGAGGGAAAGAGGAGAGGATCTGAACAGGTATAAAGGGCAGCCTGCAAGGGGAAATGGTTAGACACCAAGCAGCACTTCCGGGCCTTCGCTGGGAAGTCTCTGGGACTCATCCAGGGGCTGCCCCTGCCAGCAGGGGGCCTCCAGTGCTCAAGGCCCAGAGATGGGAGACCCCAGCCTTCCCTGCCTGGGGTGCAGGGAGCTGGGGGGAAATGAGGGGGTAGCCGTCCTGGTTCCGCATCCTCCGTTCCCGACACAGGAGGGAGGTGGCTGTGGGAGCTGGGACTTTCCTGAGCAGCTAAAGATTCTGGGAAATCAGACAGCTGCAGGGTGGGGCTGACTCCAGACCTCCCTTCCCTTCCCTCCCCTCAGTCCAGGCTCCTTCCCCAAACACGCCTCTCTTCCCTCCACTCCAAGGAGGCCCTCCTCAAACTGTTCCTCCTCCCTCAGGCCCTCAGATCTTCTCCCTCAAGTCTCCTCCTCCCCAAGAATTCACTTCCACTCTCAGACCCTCCCCAGAGCTCCTCCCGCTCAGCCCCTTCCTTTTCCCCAGCTCTCTCCTCCCTCAGAGATGCTCTCACCCTTGGTCCCTCTCAGACTCCCTCAGACCATGTGTCGTTTTCAGACTTGTCTTCCTCCTTCAGGTCCGCATCCCCCAGACTTTCATCTCTCACCCGCCCTCACACTCAGAGCCCCCAGAACCTCTCAGACCTTCCACGGCCCCTCTAGGCCAAGAGCAGATGCCCCCCAACCCAATCCTGCCTGGACCCAGAGCCATTGATCCACCTGCCACCGGGAGAACAGGTGTAGGAGGAACGCAGGTGTCCTTCCAGGGTCCCACTTCGACAAGTCCCGGCCCTCCAAGGCTCAGCTGTCCCTGTGGAGCTGGGGGGCAATGCTCGACATCCCATCCCTGTCCTGTGTTTGAGAGTCCCCAGAGGAGAGGGCCGGGTGGCTGGGGACCGCAGCACTTGGCCTTCCCCACCTAATCCTGTCACCTCTTCCCTTGCAGACCCCACAACACTGCGGGGCAGGGGGTGACCTCCGCCCCGTTTGCCAGAAGAACAAACTGAGTCTCAAGAGAGAGGACTTATCAGAGGTCCCGCAGGAGTAAGAGGCAGCGGTGGGGTTTGACCCAGGCCTTGACNGCACACCAGGATGGGTGCTAAGGTTCAGGGGTACACGGATACATGCAGGAGCCTCTAGAGGGGCTGGTCACACAGGCCTGGGCCACTGACAATGGTGCCTGTGTCTCAGGAGAGCGGGTCCTGGCTGAGCACCGTCAGGCCTTGCCTGAGTCCCTTTCAACCACTGGGCACTCTTTGTTGGCCTAGAAGAGTGAATGGAGCGTCACTGGGTCCCAGAGGGAAGGCATCAGGGGGACACAGTTCAGAGCACTGTAAGAAAACCCTTTCCAGTGGGCCTGATAGACCTGTTCCCTGTGGTCTCAGCTGTTTGGGACAGTGTTGGGCCATATACAGTCCCGGGTCTGCCCTCCCTGGCTCACACACAGGGGACACTGTACTGCCCCCAGACAGTGACATCCCAAAATGGTTGAGGTTTGGGTAGGGGAATCTAGGGGATTCCCTGTGGAGAGAAAGCAGGGAGGGCTTCCTGGAGGAGAGGCAGCTGGGGCCAAGACCTGCTATTGTTTACTGAACACCTACTGTGTGCCCTGGTTAGGCTCTCAGAAGAATAGGTGTATTTTGGAGGCTGATGAGAAAGGGGAATGTGTGGGTGGTGGGGGGTGGGAGGAAAACGCCGCTGAAGCAGGGGTATGGGTGGGGCAGAGTGGGGGAGGCAGGGAGAGAAGGCAGGAGGGAGGTGGTACCTGGTGCCGGGCCTCCAGGGCAGGAGCCTGGACCTTCTCCCACTGACAGCCCAGGCAGGAGCCCATCCACATGTACAGGGAGGGTGGGTGGGAGGAGGTCGGGAGGCTGGGGACAGGCAAGGGGAGACTGCCAGGAAAAGGAGGCGGGGATACAAGAAGTACAGGGAGCAGACAGAAGCCTCGCCTGCTCAGTCCTGCTGGGACCCTTTGGCCCTGAGCTCAGAGGCCCTGCTAATGGAGCTTCTCAGGGAGTCTTGGGTTTGCGTTTTTCTCATTCTGTAGTTCCTAAGACTCTCCACTCTAATAGTTCTTCATTTCTTAAATTCTCTTAGGTTCTTTTCTCCTAAAGTTCTATAATTGCAAGTTTCTTTTCTCCTTTGATTTTAGGACTCATTCATTCAGTAAATGCTTAGTGAGTCTCTATCCTGTTTTAGGTGCCAAGGAGACAGAAAAGAACATAGGGATGCAATTCCTGCCTTAGGGGAAGCCACATTTATTGAGCACTCACTATGTGGCAGGCTGCACAAGATGTACACATATAACACATTTAATCCTGTCACCAGCCCCGTGAGTGAGAGACTTGAAGAGTCCCTGTTACACAATGTGAAACTGAGGCTTCTTCCTAAAACCTGAGACTCTAGAATTCTTTGCCTAAGAGTCTAGGGTTCTAAAATTTTTGTCCTAAAGATTCTGTTACACTTGGATTCAAGGGGACAATGGACACAGGAAGGGTGATCAACCTTATTATCGAGGCAGGAACTGCAAATCAGAACCACCATGAGACTCACATACGCGCATGCGCGGGTGCACACACATGCATACCGGGACGACTCCTAATTTAAAAGTCTGGCCAGATCCAATGCTGGCAAGGGTATAGGGCACGTAGAACTCAGCAGACCTTGGCGATGGGGGTGAAAACTGGTGTGATCACACAGGAAGCCCATCTGGCCATATCTTCCACCCTCTTGGATTAATGCAGAGAAAACAATTCATGCCTATGGGCACCAAGAGATGTGCGTGGCATTGTCGAAAGAGTCAGCATCTGGAGACCACTCCCATGTCCGTCAGGATGGATGAATAAATGGTGGTATCTCCATGCAAGAGAATAATACACAGTCATGAAAATGTAGACACAAGGATACGAATGAAACTTAATGGCATGAAATTGAGTGCTGAAGCAGGACCCAAGAGGTTGCACAATACAATTCTCTTTATCAAAAACTCAAAACTGTCGTGATCAAGTGTATATTCATAGGTAGTGAGAGCATAAAGGAATATAGGTCACTAAAAGGGGGTAAAAGAGTTGAGATTTGGAAGAGGCGTGAGGGAGCTTTTGAGGAACTGGCAAAACCATCTCTGACCCGCACTGTTCTCTTTATAATAGTTGGTAAAATGGAACATTATGCTTTATGCAATTCTCCACATTCTATTTCATAATTTTTAAATATGTATATTTTTAATCCCACAGTTCCACATCTCTCTGATCCTGAGATGATGTGGTTCTCCAGGGGGCAAAATTCCTGAGCCTGGAGGCAGAAGGGCACAGTGGGAACCCACAAGAAGAGAATTTGGGATCTGAAACACACAACACAATTCGATTTTCCCAGAAGTGAGTAAATGTGCTGTGACCCTGTGTAACCACAAGAGGCCAAGAGACAAGTTCAGAGGTGGGTGATGTCCAAAGATGCCACAAGCCAACAGCCACTCCCAGCCCCACCTCCTGCAGGGCATGACTGTAAGGGCTCCCATTTACCCAATGCTCAGCAGCCTGCCCGGAGCCAGGCACTCCACAGGCACAACCAGACCAACGCCTGGTGCCTGCCCCGCACTTCTCAGGTGTGGAAACTGAGCCTGTTCAGGGTTTGCACAGCTGTGCAGGGCTTTGATCCCAGCTGTTGACCTCACTCCACAGGGTGGGGTGGGCCTCATGCTCCTGGGAAGGTATTGGTGGACAGAGGTGGCCCTGACTGGGACAGCGGTCAGGAGCAGGGGAGGAGTCCACTGGCCTGACTCAAATGAGGAAGGGCCTGGCATGACCCTGGCCTTCCCAGGAGCCCTGGGAACTTCTGCATCTATATTTTTAGGCCCTGGCGGCTGCAGGGGAGACTGTGGCCTTGGACTAAGGAGGTGCAGACTTCCAGGGAGAAAGGCTGGCTTTTCAGGGAAGGTGCTGTCCCTTTCTCAGGATGGGCTTTGCACTTTGCCCAGGGAAGTGGGAAACTGCTAGTTCCCTGGGGGAGGCTTGCCACACCTCAGGGAGTGGCGGGGCTAAGGGGCAGGCATGCTTCCCTAACTCAAGGCTCAGGAAGTAAGCACCTGGTGCAGGAAGCAGACACCAGCTCCCTTCTGGGTAATTCGTACCTCACACTTTAATATTGGGGACAAAACTTAATCTCACACTCACATGCTTCTAGAACAATGGCCAAATCAGGCTATACAACCCCATAGTCTGATGGAGGCAGAAGGCAGCACCCTGACTCACTATCGGGGAGCTTCAGTATGACGGTGGAGAAATGCCTACTATCTTCAGGAGCCCTGGTCTGGTCTAATACTCATCCACATGGGGGATAAAATCGCCCTCCTCAACTGAGAACCAACATCCTAGACAGATGAGGGAAGCAGGCTGCTTCAGTCTCATGAGAGGCATGCCCCAGCCACTCACCCAGGGAGAGTCCCGAGTCTGACAGGAGAGGCATTGCCCACTCGTGGAGGCATCTAAGTCACACCCCATTCTCAGGGAGATCCTTATCTGATGGAGGAGGAAAAACAGATTTCAACTCCAGAAGGAACTCTTGTACTGACGGAGGACACGTCCCTGCCTCAGGGACCTCCTACGCATCTAGTCTGATGAGGAAGGCAGTGCTCAACCCTATCCTGGCCTTCTTGCCTGCATATTCTCCATCCTTCCCTGCTGAATGAGCAGAGCAGGGGCTTCCCCCTCTCCACCTCTGTGGTGGATCCTAGAATCAGGGAACTTCTACAGGACACCACAGTTTCCCACCCCTGGGACTTCCCTTTATTTGTCAGCCCAAGACCAGGGGCTCATGGGGGTCTGTCATGCCTACCTGCCTACCCCTGCTCACCTACCACTGCTGACCCAGGCCCT